AAGCTAGCTTTTAGAAGCTAGCTTTTAGAAAATTTTAGCTAGCCATGTGGTACTTTTAGTATCTAGCTTGTTTTGCTACTTCAAGCTAGCCTCTTGCTATGTTTAGGCTCTAGCTAGGCTTTTGCTATTAAAGGCTTTCAGCTAGCCTCTTGCTACTTTTAGCTTCCAGCTAGCATTTTGAAAGCTTTAGCTAGCCATGTGGTACAAATTGTTTTGCTACTTCAAGCTAGCCTCTTGCTACATTTAGGCTCTAGCTAGCCTTTTGCTATTAAAGGCTTTCAGCTAGCCTCTTGCTACTTTTAGCTTCCAGCTAGCATTTTGAAAGCTTTAGCCATGTGGTACTTTTAGTATCTAGCTTGTTTTGCTACTTCAAGCTAGCCTCTTGCTACATTTAGGCTCTAGCTAGCCTTTTGCTATTAAAGGCTTTCAGCTAGCCTCTTGCTACTTTTAGCTTCCAGCTAGCATTTTGAAAGCTTTAGCCATGTGGTACTTTTAGTATCTAGCTTGTTTTGCTACTTCAAGCTAGCCTCTTGCTACATTTAGGCTCTAGCTAGCCTTTTGCTACTATGAGCTTGTAGCTAACCTCTTCCTACTAAAAGCTTCTCCTTCTCTCTGCCTGAAGTTTTACCTTCCAGCTCCGAGCTGCTGTCTTTGCGTTGGTCGTTCTCACTGTTGGGGGCACTGTCTTCCACTTCGGGGATGCTAACCAGGAACTTGCGGTCATCTCTGAGGACGGTCATGGTCAGCTTGCCCCTGCTCTTCTCCACCAGGTGCTTTGTCTCAAGAAGTGATAGATTCTCTGTTGTCATGCCATTAATCTAGTCATAACAGAATTAACAAAACACAAGGTTTAGATTATTTGTTTATAACAGAAACTGAAAGCTTCCAGGTTTTATGAAATTAATGAATAAAAAAGGCTATTCACTTTAAGAATGAGGTCTCCCTCCTGCAGTGTCCCTTCTCTTGCAGCAAGGCCAGTTTCTGACATGTGCTTTATGAAAATCTGACTGCCTAGCTTCAGTCCGTATTCTGAAAAAATAAAAATAAAAATTTATATTAAGAGCAGAAATTGTCACAGTTGTTTCAGCTGAGCTTCATTAAATGAGAACTGAAAGGACTCATGAAGATCTTACCATCCGTGACTTTCTTCTTAACCAAAGTTGCTTTAATGGGTTTGTCTGGACTGGAGTTCTGCGGCAGCCTCTTGTACCCCGATGACAGCGGGAGCGTGTTTCCGTACCCGTTCCGGTCAGGCGAAGACCTCTGGGGAACGTAGCGACTTGCGTCACGTTGGTCGCTGCCGTCCGAGTACCGTCGTGTTCGCCTGGGAGGTTCCTGATCCAGCAGGTTGGAGTGGGAGGCTGCACGGGTGGGTCTGGTGGTGGCYGGGATCTGGATCTTTCGAGGGCGCTTTACTGTCTGTAGAAGGAAAAGATTCAGAGAAACTGTTGATTAGTGAGATTTTTATTTTTATCTGCTTTAGTTGGTTTTCTGCTCATACTCACTATGTTTGCTATCTTGCCACATGTCTTAAGGACCTGAATAGTGTAGTTAGAGTAAACATTTTCCATTTGAACTCCATTGACCATGACGATTTGGTCTTTGTTGCTGCAAAGCATCAGAAAACACACAAAGAACATGCATATTTGCCAGTTAATAAGCATATTTATTGCCAGAGTTGTAATGTAACTAAGTACAAAAACTTTGTTACTGTACTTAAGTAGAAATTTTGGTTATCTGTACTTTACTTGAATAATTATTTTTCCAGCCTAACTTTTACTTCTACTCCTTGCATTTTTACACACTTATCTGTACTTTCTACTCCTTACATTTTTTAAAAAGGGTAATAAGTAGAAAGTTGTTCCTCCTATTTCATTTCGGCTTGTTACTGTTAAAAAAATACTATCCTGAAAAATTGTGGCTCCTGGATAGAGTGAATTTAATTGTGGTTGGATGAAATGTATAAATATATAACATTCTATTGCTGTATTTATTTTGTATGCAATAATCAAAGCTGCAAAAAATATGTTTTGAAGAGGTCACCTCCCAATAAATGTATTTTGAAAAATTGAACCATTAATTTTTACTCAGTACTTTTACATTCATTACTTAAGTACATTTTATGTCGGAAATTTACTTTTGATTCTTAAGTAGAAAATAAATCAGATATTTTAAGACTTTTACTCAAGTAATATTCTTAGAGGAGACTTGAACTTTTACCAAAGTAATTTTATGATAAGGTACTTGTACTTTTACTCAAGTATCACTTTSAGGTACTTTATACAACACTGTTTATTACACTGTATTTTAATATGTGCATACAAAAAAAAATTATGTAAAACAAGGATGGGCAACTGGCGGTCTGCAGACCACATCTGGCCCACAGGTGTCAACCATCCAGCCAGCCAACCAATATAAAATGATAGTGCCGCACACTTACCCAAAATTTAACACAAAATTATGGCCCCCGCCATCATTTAAGTTGCCCATGCCTGATGTAAACAATCAAAAGATAAAATCTGACATGTTGAACTTACAAAAGTCGGCCCATGGCTGGTCCATTTGGCAGAACATCTGACACCACCACAGCTGTATCCCCGGTGTCTAAATTAGGTTTGTCTTTGCCTCCAGACAAGGCAAAACCAAATCCAAATTTGGGGTCCTACAAAAGAAGAAGAAAAAGAAGGAGGAATGATTCCAGCAAAAAATGACCAACCAAGAGAGGGAGCAGAGAATGGAGTAGAAGATGCAGCAGAGAGATAGAGGGAGACAGAGCACATTCCAGAGGCAGAGCCAGTCTGAGCTGTTGGACTCAGCAGGGTGTGTCGCTCTGAATTCCTGCCGTGAAACCGAGATGGCTGGTCCACCTGAGTCCCTGAAAATCCTTCATAATAACCACTGAAACAAAAGACCCCTGAGCCATCTGTTCCTACCACAAATAAACAGTACTAACGTTTAATACAAAACAAACCATACATGTTCTTTTTATATTCATGTAAAATCTACAAGTGTCTTCATAATGGCTCATTCAAACTACGATTCCTTTAAACCACCACTTACTTTGTGCAGAGTTATTGTATGTTGCTCCCATATTGTTAACTCCTCCATTCCTGGTTTCTGTAAAAAACACAAAGACAACAATAACATAAACAACTTTGTTTTGAACCAAATTAATATTTAAATTCTGCAACGTCCAATGAGTGGTTTATTAACTCTGTAATGCTGATCCGTACACGGATGATTGTTAATCTTGAACAGAAAGAATGTTTGTTCAGCTCAACCTGATCTGAGCATGCTCACACCTGTCCCAATCCTGCCTGACCGGTATGGAGAGGGGGCGGGGCTAGCAGGTGTTTATCTGTGAGGTGTGAATGCTGAATGACATCCAGGTCTTTTTATACAGAAACAAAACAAAACAAAAAACAAAACAATAAATAAAACAACAACAAAACAACAAAAAACACAAAACAATAAAACAAAACAAAACACACAAAAATAGCTGAAAATAAACTATTACCCGACAGACATCCTGAGTTGTCATTTTTAGCCCAATTAGCACAAAAGCTCTAAAATATTTAACTTTAAAAATGGTTTTATATTTTGACAGGGCAGCTATTTATTTGGCAAAACGTTCAAAAATTCTTGTTTAACCTTACATGATGAATTAACCAAAGGACATTTGGGTATCCAATAACGCAAAGTGTTGCTTTCAGCTGACCCAGCCCTGTAGGACTTTTGTTGACCTTCAGATTCTCAGCCTTTTGTCAGTTTTATGCTTTTACAMGGACTTGACTTTACATTTAAGTCATAAAAAAATCTGGAATTTTAGTTTGCTTAGGGTTGCAAGATGTGAAAATGTGTGACAGTTCATCAAGAAGAGGAACTACTAATAGTAAATCAACGGTTGTTTATAACATTCCAATCCGGCTATTTCAATTGTCAAGAAACTAAACCTAAAACTGAACACACTACACTTGACTAAAATGACAACATACCGGTCATGATTTGAATGTTCCACATACAAATCCTTAAAATAAAACTGAGCATGGGCTGGATGTAACATACATTTACAACTAGTGAAACTAAAGATACTGGTGTTTCAGACAGAACAAGTAAGGCCAGATACTCCAGTCAACCAGTGGCATAAACAGCATAGTTTCTTCAAACACTTTGAATGTGACTSTAGGATAAATGACGAGAGCTATGTGCTGACATTTACTAGTTCTCCACTTCAATTTAGCTCTAGGTGATCAAATTTACAAATACAAGTGAGAAAATCCACCTGAAATGTGTCACCCTTGATGAAAATCAGCAGTGTTAGACCTTTGAATGGATGACTGTTTGCACTTAGTTAATCATAAACTTAAGGGGG